TCTTTCCAAAATGTGTCACATTTAAAAAATGCGATTGACAATAATCTGTTACATTTCACAGCGATAACAAAGTTTACAATCACAATTTAATTAAAATATTACACCAGCACATACAAGTATTACGAATTATATTTAACTTATAAAATAATGAATAGCACAATGTACTTTTTTAAAATCGGACACATCAATTGGACATATAAGTAAGAATGTTAAATTACATTTGTATGTTTTAATAAAGCAAGATTAGACATAATGTTTGTACAAATATTTACTTAAAAAATTCAAATTATAAAATAATGAATAGCACAGTGCACTCTTTTTTCGAGCACATCAATTATACATATAAGTAAGAGTGTTACATTACATATGTAAGGTTTAATAAAACAAGATTATACATTATGTTTGAACAAATATTTGTTTAAAAGTACAACAGTCTTCATTTATATCCTTCATTTGGATATGGTATTTTTTATGCCTACAGAAAAATTAATTCAAGAATCCTATTCCTTGGAGTTTTCGAAAAACAAGCCAGTCTTAAACATCTCTATGAATTCATTGTAATGCATTAGTCTCAGAAAGATGATCAAAGATTTTAAAAATAAATTAAACTGATCGGAGGTATAAATACTTTTCTGTGTTCTGTTTAAATAGGTGTTTATTCTCACCAAGTTTCAAAACAAGGTATACATTTTGTCAAGTGCTGTACAAAATAACCTGTCGGGATAGCCTGGTTTAAAAGGGCGTTGGACCCATGTCCCAGAGGATCGTGATCACTGCCGACTGAAGGCTCTCCGAGTAGTAAAAGGTGACTGGTGCACGTTAAATCTTGTGGGTCGCACAGTGCCCCAAGTTTCCATAACAAATCAAAACCTTTAGTGATTGATCGTTCTCTGGTTCAGGTCAAAATTAAGATCTGTGAATGAATAAATGTGTGTATGAATGGGTCCTCCCTCTAAACTGGGCTGTGACGCTTGTGCGTGACTGAAGACGTATTTTTGGTTATAGATGGCGCCACTGAAAAACAAGAAACGCACCCTCTGCCTTAAATTCGCTTGGCTTTTCCAAGCAGACTTGCTGGTATTGGCAAGTGCCATTAGAAACAACAACAAAATAACCTCCACTTCCAGCAAAAGGTACTTGCAACTAATCACATGGTTATGTTCTAATCACGTAATTGTGCGTGGAATCAATTTTCAGTTTAAATTTAAATGGATACCTGCAAGTGTTCATCACGCGTGTGTTTCGAGCCTCATTGGCTAACCTGTGCGTGACGTCACTTGCCAGTATCCAATTACGTCGAGTGAAATCACGGATAATACACACTCAAACAAATATTTCAAGCGGAAGGTTTTGACATACATCAAGAAAACAATATTTAGTAAATTTTCATGGCAGCAGAGCCACCTATTGACGAAATTCTTCAATAGTTTGAAAACTTGGAAAGAATAAGAAAAATGTGGGAAGCAGTACATATTATCTAATTTTTTAAAAGTGGTTTTTCAAATTGTTGGTCACTAATAAAACGCATTGAAATTAGGGATTAAACACATTGTATAGAGGGATTAAACGCATTGTAATATAGGATTAAAGCATTGATATAAAGAACGCATTATTCATCAAATAATTAAAAAACAGAAGTTATGAGATTAGATGTAAGAATTTAAGAGTAATCAGTGAAAATCATTTTCATTCAAAAAGAGTATATTTCTGCATCTATTTTCATAAAGATTTCATTTGAAGATAGTAAAAATGTGACATATTAGATGTGACATGTGACATATTAGATGTTAAATCAGGCATTTTGATAAATCGTACATTTTATCGCTTTCATTTTCTTATCACCTTCTTATACGACAGAAAGAGTGACCGCTTTTTATAGCTTATTAATATACATACTAATTATAAATTGTAATAATAAAATAATTACATATTATTAATGGAATTATTAAAAATGTTTGATTTGATTTGAAATAAATGTGCAGTTTTTATTTATTATTTTTTTATCGTATGCTCCGAAAAATAATATTTTATTGAATTATTAATTCTTGCTTTCATTGCTCATTTAGTTATTGAAATAATCACAGAAAACTTTAAAAATGAAATTACGAAGAGTAGCATTTATCAAAAACTAGAGTACTGGCTATATTGTTATTAATAATTTGTTACTTTTTTCCTCAGTTGTTAAATAATACAGAAGGAAAAACAAGAATTCAGTATTTGAAATTAAAAATTTTGCCATATGTATACACACCTCTTCTTATTCATTTATAAGCCCAAATTCTTAAGATATTCATAATTAGATATTCATAAAGAGTAAAGATATTCATAATTAATTAAAAAAAATTTAAAACTGTGTAAAATATTTATTGACAATGTAAACTTTAATTTTTATCTTAAAAAGAAGTTAATGATAGAATCAATATTATACATCTGAATTAGATTTTTGAAAACCACGGTTTTGAAAACCACGAATGCACTGATAAAATTTTAGTGCAGTTATAACTAATTATCACGTTATCACTCACCAGAAATAAGATTTCTTTGAACTCGAAAACCAAATGTAGGACATTTAAGAAAAAATGTTGCACCAAAAATTTAAACAGATTGCACTATTACATGGAGTGAAAAATGCAGGTTAAATTACCGTACTGGACGGTAATGGCATATCTGGTAAAAAAAGACACAATTCTGGTTAATAAAACCGAAATATAGATATAAAAACCATTCCTTTGATAGTTTTTCCTTTCATATGGTAACAGTTTTCCGAAAAGTCTGTTTTTAAAGATTATAGTTCTCATTAGCAGATATAAAAAATAAAAAATTGGATAAAATAATACAAAATTGGATGTAGTAAAAAATAGAAAATAGGAAAGTAATTTTTACCAAAAAAATGGTTTTTACGCAATGCTCTAAAGTATCATTATGAATTTACCAAATTCTACGACATTTTCCTAATTTATCACAGATCATAAAATCATATTTTATGGTTAATTTTACCAAAAGCATTACCAAAGCACTTCAGTAAAAATTAATGATTTTTGGTGTTCCTATAAAACCAGAAACACGGTAATTTTTATTATATTCTCGAAGTTTTGACCATACTTTTTTTTTCTCGGTGTAGAAATTACAGTTTAAATTTGATGCAACTTTAATATGCGAGCTACGTTGCGCGCGCACGTTGTACCACATTTTCGTAATTCTTAAATTCGATTCCACGACATATGGTTCAACTTGAACAGATACTTGGTCCAATTTAAATCTTTTTTAAAGTAGCAGAAAATTTGCACCTTATTATAGTTAACTGTTGTACTGAATTTTCTGAAAATGTAGTTTGGTTTTGAGAAAAATTTGAATAAAGTTATTTTTACCTCTGCACACATATAGTTGTGGTAGAATCATTTTTCATCATGATTTTTGTAGAATCATTCTTCGAAATTGTAAGAAGAAATTAATCGGAGTTGGACCTTTTATGTGCAAAGATTGAACTAGGTTTAGATTACTGCTAATGTGTAGCAAAGGGAACCAGTTTTTCTCAATAATATTTTGTAGATTTTTGTAAAAACTTGGACCGTCTTGAGTATGGCTGATGAGAATTAACTGACATGATATCTATACAAAATAATTATAATTTTGACATTAAAGAGAAAGATTAATTAGCAGGAATAACGCTTTGCTGGTGCGTTAAAAGAATTGTAATTTAGTTATCATATGAGCAAGCTCAAGTAAAATTCTTTGTTATTAAAATTAGCACATGTGTTAAATAATTTTTGAAAACAATGCCATGAAATTGACATTTTGGGAGAGTTTTGATAAAATTAATTAAAAGAAAAAAATGTTATTCTTTGGAAATAGGAAATCAAGCAAAAATTAATATGGTTTAAAAGTAGTTTCACGTTAATATACATATCAGTTAAATAATTTAATATGTATGCTAATGATACTTATATTTAATTATTAGCAATTAACAAATCAGGATGTACAGTATTTATCCATAAGCTGAGAACCTAACGAAAATGCCTGCGACAAGATGGCGAGGAAGTTTTTAAATTATTCAGAAGAAAATTAATTACAAATAAAAATGGTAAATTCAACTAAATTTTTTAGTAATAACCTTTGCTTTGAAAAATAAGTTTAATTTTAGATGAACTGTTCGAGAGATGCCCAGAACAATTTGGAATTCATCTAATGACGAAGAAACAGGCATTTATTTAAATGCAATAAAAATCCACCAAGGTTAAATAAATAACAGGCTGAAGCATTGATGGCATACTGTTGTTGTATTGATACGAAAGCTTGATAGTTTTCCAACTATCTCTGGTAACCAGCTAACAGGTGAGAACCGTATGCGATAAATAAAAAAAAAACTACTATTATACTTAACTTGCGATTTAATGTATCAAGATTTCTTAAGTCATTTAACACTGATCTTAAAGGAATGTAATTTTTAAAAGAATACAAATGATTTAATTGAGGACGTTTTTCAAAACTCCATCACCAAGAAAAATGAAAAAGCCACAGTTTAAGCACTTTAAGCTCGAAGAATAGTAATTTTAAACTGAATTACCTTTTGCAGTAAACAATTATCTGGAAGTAACAATTTGATTATTAAAAATATTATTAAATTTTTTTAAAAAAAGGGCTAAACTGGCGAGATTTTGCCTCATGAATGAAATTTATTAAAATCATAAAGTCTCAATTTCTGCAAATTTCTATGAGCCCAGACAACAGCGCAGGATGAACTTTCAAAACGTCAAAAAAATTAAACCACAAAATCTTTTCACTTTAACATAACTGTGGCTTATTTTTATCTCAATGGTCTTCAGCATTTTGATAATTAGTATGGAAGGGGCCAGTTTAGAATGAGTAAAACTTTACCCAACAGTCAGGAATGACTATAATAAATAATAAAAATAACTTATTATTCGCTAAAAAGAGTTACTCCATGTGAGCTTTAAAAAAAACCTTAAAAAATGATATAAAATATATGCAATTAATCGAAGAATATATAGAAAGAAATGTAATGTACAAATAAATTAAAAATGATTTTTTAAAATCAAATTTGATTTTTGATGACATCTTTTTAAATAAAATCGATATGAAGATGGTTGTGTAAAATTTAGATGCAGTTTTTAGAAATGTACGTGCATTCCGCGAGAGGCTGGTCTACCTGTCGCGCTGTTAAGTCGTCGTCAGTCACAGCGGTTGCAGTTGGACTGCCAGTTGGTTGTAGTAGTTGTGGTGAAGGACACGCAACTCCCACGATTCTGAGTGCCCCTTGTACTTCTGTACAGCTTCAGGTTATCTCGATCATACTGCGAGGATCGGTAGGATACTGAATATCTTTGAGATCCATGCACTGTACGACGAGTTGACCAGCGTCGCCACAAATGGCGCACTGATTTTTGCACCTGTGAGAAAAGTTTTTTTTTTATTATGCTTAAATCTGTGGACTGGTCATATCTATAAAGTTACTTTTGTAACAGATGTGAAATAAAGTTCTTACATACGGGTTCTGATAATAAGTTACTTTTTGTTTTATTTTTATATGTCTTGAAATATCTCATAGTTATGATGCAGAAATTAAACGTAGATAATTAAGCACTGGAAATAAAGTATCAGCATGCTCACAGAGGGCCTCATGGCTATGATGTAAATTTTAATTATATTAAATATTGAAAACAAAGCATCAGCGAGTAATGTAAGTAGTTTCATAGTTGTGATGCAGATATTAAAAGTAGATAATTAAGCACTGGAAATAAAGCATCAGCATGTACCTTGAAGTGTCTCATGGTTGTGATGTAACTGTTAATTATTAAATCATGAAAACAGAGCATCAGCGTCTAATGCAAAATGTTTCATAATTGTGATGCAGATATTAAACGTAGATCATAAAGCAGTGAAAACAAAGCTTCAGCATGAACCTTAAAACGTATCGTAGTTGCGATGCAGATATTAAACTTAGATTACTAAACATCAAAAACAAAAGCATCTTAAAGTGTTTTATAGTTGTGATGCGGATATTAAATATTGATCATAAAGCAGTGAAAACAAAGCTTCAGCAGGCAACTTAAGGTGTGTAATACGATGTAAAAAAGTTTGGTTCATAGTTGCTTCCATTTTTTAAGTTAAAATAAACTAAGTACAGAACTGTACTTAAAATTATGTAAAAAATGTAAAAAATTGTGTAAAAAATTATTTAAAACTGACAAAATGACAAGTGTTTGAAAGAATTAGTGTGAACATATTACTAATAATGTGCCTGTTTTTTTAAAGGAAATATTTTTGCAATGAAATGTTGCAGTAATGTGTTGGCAGTAATGGGCGCTGGCAGTAAATAAACAAACAAAAAATGGATAAGTAAAGAAATAAAACTATAAGTGCATAAAAATAAATTGAAAGTATAACTACCTGAGCTATGAAAAATTTTAGCTTACCTTAACACTAAAAATGGTGGTAACTATACACCAAAATTTTTTACAGTGTAGTTGTGATGCATATATTAAGCGAACATTATTAAAAATCAAGATCAAAGCATATGCATCTTAAGCTATATCTACATAAATTTAGATCATTGAACAATGAAAACAAAGCATCAACATGCATTTATCTCATACTTGTGATGTAGACTAGACATTAAACGTAGATAATTGCTAATCGAAAACAAAGCCTAAGTATGTGTCACAAAGTATGACTTTGTTGTGATACAGATATTAAATGTAGATCACTTATAATAAAAGCCATCAGCATTCAAAAGCTATACTAAGAACATTCAATATCTATAGTAGTTGAAATTTTAAGCGATTTATACATACCTCTCCATTTAAGAAACAGTACAATATTGCAACGGTGAAACCCTGCAATGAATAAAATGAATTGAAAAAATGACTTTGCAGAAAATTAAATAACCGAAATTTTTACTTCACAATGGTACATGAAATAAAAGAAGGTATATTCATTATAATACAATATTAGCTACTATCATCAACTTCATTTCGTATCATTTATCATTTTATTACTTTATAACATCCATGCATTTTAAATATTCTTACATACGAAGACTTTTAAGCAACGGAATGTTGTGATTAAGAGCTTCCTTTTGACGTAAAACGATTCTACTTGAAAACGATTCTACTCTAAACTATGTTAGCCTACGGAGTATATAATTCCTTAAAATAAAATATAATTCAGTAAAATGTGTTCTATTGAAGCTAGTAGCCAAATTTTAAATTTTAGGGTATTAATGGAAAGTAAAGTAATACAGGGAAAGTAAGATTTGAAGTCCTGTTGGCACTACATTTGCATAGATTTATTAATTCCAGCTTTTTACTATGATTGAAACTATTTTTCAAACCTCTCTTTAAATATACAAAAAATAACGATTTTTTAACACTTTTAAAGACGAGAATTTCATTCTGAAACTTAATATTAAAAGAGCATACTAATTTCGTAATTTCTAATGTAAAAAATAAAATTATATCTTTTTATTACAATTGTAATAGTTTTTAAAATTTCTCTTTATTTTTTTACGCTTAGGGAATTGCTCACCACTAGATTTAACGTTTTTTTGTTGTTTTTGCAAAAAAAAAGCACGTTGATAAATTTACATAAAAATATCAGCATTGTTTTTTTTAAATTATTGACAGATGGTCACATGAAGCAGTCATCCTTTTTCGACACCATGTTCATTGACACCATCTAAAAAAATAAACTAAACTCAGTGGCGCGAAAGCCCATTGAGGGCCAAGACCTACTGTGCCCATCTCAGTTTTCTTGACCTTGGCCTCTGGGGCGCAAGAGCAGATGTTCCGGTTAGGTGATCAGCCGAACGCGAAACCCCCAGTGTTTAGCTACCAAGCATACTTGGTACTCATCGACACCATCAAAGTGCTCATTTCATAATGTCAACTTGGGGCGGAAATATCCTGTATATACTTCGTGTATTTATATACACTGGGTACATTACATTTACATACATTAGATAATATTTATATACGCTAAATAAACTAGATTTCTATTCGCTAGGGAACATTTATTTTCTGTATCATAGTGTCCAGTTATACCATTGGACACTATGTTAGTACATATTGCATTGCATATTGCTTACTTGTGTTGAGAGAAGCACAGCTTGTATGTAGGAGAAAACAACTCTTTCTGTTCCCTGTGATGGGGTCACAATGACCAGTACGTAAGTAATCCCCAGCAGAGGAATCAATACCAGGAGGGCTTTTGCTGCTTTCCTGAAATAACACATGTTAACATTTGTCATACATTTCAAATTTGTCTCTGAGGTAATTAAATTTACAGATTTGATTAATTAATTTTACTTAATAATGCCGATTTAATAATAAAAATTTTATTAATTAACTGAAGATACGAACTTAACCAGCTGAATAAAAAATATATAAGAGTTATAAGAACGAAAAGTGAACTCATATAATAGCGTCCGTAACACAACGGCGATAGTACAGCCATCATTCCTAGTTGGTTGGTGTCGTATTGAATCATATCTCAGGGTGTACTTGAATAGTCTTTGCTATCTCTTTGGCATCATAGTGAATACAAATCCTCTTCTGTGGGGTAGTTTAAGGGGTGAAGGCCTGCAGCGACTGCAGAGCAGTTGAAAACATGATATGGTGTGAGTTCCACATTAAGACAGTTGCAACAGTTTTGATATTTTCTAGTCCCATCTGCAGAGATTTCCATGTTTTTATGATGTTTTGTTCTTAGTCTGATGAGAGTGGTGGCTGTCTTCTTGTCGATGTCAAAATTAGTTAATCATTTCTAGTTATAAATGGAAATGAAAAGAAGATTAACGAGTTTAAGTAAGACAGTTTATAGTGAATTTGAAATAGTGAACCGAGCAGCAAAAAATCAAAAACATAACATCAGAACCCCAAAAACAGAGCATTAGAACATCCAGAATAGAACAACAACTACCAGCAGTAGAATCGACTTTAATGTCAGGAGATGATTGGGCAGTTTCGTCACTCAAAGTGCTGCACTGACGCCACAAGTCGCATCGCTTTAATTTTCTCTATTTCAAGAAAACAGCATTGAAAGATGCATGCGACCAATTTTGGTCGCATGCATCTTTCACACGACTTTTCATTCACTTTAAATGCTTTCCTGTTAATCAGTTAAACACCTTTTGCAATGCAAGATACTTGCCTTCTCATTATAACTCTGAAAGGTAGAGCTGCTATAGCTGTTGCATTTTTGACATCACACACGAGCACTTTTAGAATAAGGAACATTTATATGATAATTTATTTTAGTATATTACTACCATTAATTATTTGGATCATACATTGTTTAAGTGAATTAAACATAACAAGAAAAACTCCGATGCTTTTGTTTTCACATTTCCTTTGACACATGCCTTTAACCTCCATGAAACTGGTCACTAAATTGAAATTACACGTTTAGAAATATTATGCAAATAACACATTTTTCTTTAAAATGATTTAATTTTTCGTCGAGTACAATTTAAAAGCAAAACTTTTAGATTTGCTTAAATTATATTTGTAAAACCTTTCTCTTTTCTAAACTTTAGAATCTTTAGTTCGCCTACTCTATGCAATCAAGTAAATGTATTTTGTTTTAGATTTAACGTCGATGCAATTGCTTCTGGAATGAAAGAATATTAGATGCCATTTACATACTAAATCCCAGAAATTTCTGTTAATGACTTTTACCACATTTAAAATCCTGGAAGCATTATTACCACGTCAGACTTCAGCTGCAAGAGCCCATTTTACAGAAAACAGATGTTTTAGAATGAATGAATGAAATAACAAATGAATGAAATAAAGTAAAAATTGAACAATTATTTAAGTGTATTCATGCAAAAACCATTTTAATAATTTTCCTTTCCTTGTATTTGAAAGTTTTTAAGCTATATATTTTTATTAATACAATAAAGAAATACTTGAAATTAGTCGTAAGAAAAATAATTGGAAAAATAAGCGAACTTTTTATTATAATTATGCGTATTTGAAAAATAATCAATTGCAAAATATTGATGTTTGATGCCTATGCAATGACCATGCATGAAGTATGTCCATGCAAAGCCTTTGCGCATTACAAAAAGTTAAGTAAGAAATGTATGAAATTACGAGTGTAATTCCTTGCGATAATATTGACATTCGTTAAAAACAACGTATAAAATCAAATATGGTAAAATACTCATTAAAACCAATACTCGTTTCAGTGTACCATTGTAACAGTCATTAAAGTGTGCCCACATGCAAAGACTTTGCCCATTACAAAAAAGTTGTGGGTTAAAAAATGAGAAGTAAGTGTGATCGAGAAATAATTAGTTACCATATTTTATTAATTAATAATTAAAATTGTACCTTTTATTTAACAAAATATTTTTAATTTTTGAAAATGTTTAATTTTCTAGATTATGTGTCAGAATGATTGTTTTTAATGAAATATAACAGAATTCGATAATTTGTTAAAACATTTACAGGATACTTACGGGTCTCGGAAAATTTTAATAGTGGTAGCAAAAATGGAATGTGTATCAAAAATTAAAACATTTTGTGATGATCACTCCAGATTAGTTTTTAGAGATAATTAGTATGAAATCGAATTATACTGAACTAAAAATAAGCTAGTATTTCTACAGAGTTGAAGTATAAGTTATTCTACATTCATTTGAAGATTATCTGTAGTGAAATCTTAACTGTAAAAATATTTAGGTTATTTTGCAATGTTAAGTAATATCTCAGTAATTTATTTAAAAAAAGTTTTCAGCTATTGCCTATAAAATTACTATAATGTTAAGTCCCTTTAAATTCATAAATTTAAAAAAAACAACGACTCTAGAAATTTTAATTCTGTAGATATATTAAATATTGTAAATTTGAAGTTTTAATATACAGTCATTGTTTCAGAAAAAAATACAGTTATTTTATGTTGTTGTAAAGATGAAAGTCTTTCCAGCAATTCTTCAACCTTTTATAACGTCTTTGTTTGTTTTTTCTGTATTATAAATTTATTTCTCATTATAATTTTTAGATTTATATAGGGATTCTAAACATATATATCGATCGGAGATAACGTAAACTATCGATATTTATAAAAAATATGTATAAAGTACATATTTTACATAATTGTAATTATTTTGTAATTCAATAAAAGTATCAAAAAATTTTAAATAAGATTTTTGCACAATTTAATTGCTTTAAAAAATTAGGTCTTCAAACATTTATTTCTAATTTTATTTTCATTAACTTATTTTTTATTTATTAATTTTTGTCTTAAAAATTGCTTTTATACAAAAAACACTTGAAAAGTAACTTTTTGAGGTTGGTACTGCAGTAAAATATTGCAGTTTACAAACTTCTGTAACTTTGCTGTTTTTCCACCTAAACAATTTAGTAACGGAGTCATCCAAATCACCAAAGTCCTCGAACTGCCATTTTTTTAATAAATGTTTTGCAGCTTATTTTTAGATGGGTACCTTATTACGCATCTTAATGTTAAAAATTATTTTGAAATATGCGTGATTTGGAAATATGCTTGCGCGCATTCGTGATTCAACCACCACTGTTGGAATTTTCAAAGAGCTGTAGGAATCTAGGCTTACCTGTATTGTTTCGATTCTGCTGTTGTAGCAATACGAAGCTTGGTCATCAAAACCCACATAATCTTACACATAAAAAATATGTTCACCTGCAATAAAAATGCATTATTCTGTTTATACAATATAAGGATCTGATAATGAAATAGAAAAAAACAACAACTTATGTTGTTATGCTGAACAAGGAAATAATACCTTAAGCTATTGAAGAAACTTTGCGCTGAGAAGTTTACTGGTCATTAAATATTAGTATTAGGTGAAACAAAATAACCACATAAAATTGTGTGTTTATAATATAGCGTGTAATATAGCATATAGTTTACTATAAAGCATATTTTGTGTACTGCGACACATTTCATAAAATAATGTCTTTTTTAATATGTGCATTTTCTGTGTATTTTGTTTTCAGGGGGGATAAAAAAAGTATTTGTTATTGAATAATAATTGCCTACAAAAATTTGCTTTTGATCTAATGTGTAAAATTAGTCAAATATTGGTTAACACCTCATGGAGAATCGGAAAGTTTTATTTTTCATTCAGATCGGGATCTTAAATGAAAAAAATATTTAACTAATTTCAATGCCCGTATTTTAATAAAAAGATATTTTATTTGAAAATACAACAATCGTGTCAATGTTCAAAGCTTTTATGGCCGTGACTCATCTCAAGATCAAATATTGCTCAAATTGTTTACCTTGGACAAAGGAGACTGCTTAAATTTCTCAATTTTCCACACTTCTTTTTAAATAAAGATGCAGAAATCCCTCAAATGATGACGTATGTCTCTCAAATATTTTTGATAATTTATTTAATAAGTTTTCAGAACATAAATATCTCTTATGGATATTATACAGGCAATAAAGTTAGTTAAAAGTATTATTTTAGTTACGAATAAAACAAAATTTTACCTCCAAGTTATTAACCGTAATCGATATTTGCTAACTATCTATCATAGTAGCTATCACAAAAGGCAATTTTTCGTAGCTATTAAAACTTGATGTGAAAAAACTTGTGTTTTTCCGCCCCACCTTAATACATGAGTAAACAAGTTTACATTTACTGAATATGTATTATTATTTGAAAGAAACGATTTTTGTATGAACCATGTCTATTGCACAAAATATATTATTGCCTTAGGTACCTATACTGACGTGCAAATGAAAAAAAAACAGCGTAAGTGCCTCAGGGTAGATTTCGAGAAAAATGACTTGACAACTATTTTCTTTCTATTGCAAATACTATAAGCGCTAAGATAGAATTTCATAAAACTGATAAAACAGTACTGATCATAAAACTGATCTTTTTCATACAGAATAGCTTATCATGCAGAAATGAAAAAATATAAAAAATCTCAATTTTGAATTTTTTGTCACTTACATTGGTTTTTTTTTGCACTACAGCATAATAATACGATATTTACATTATCCTACGATTTATACATAATCAAATGAAGATTCTATTATTATTCAGAATATTTTTTATAATTATAAAAAAATTTTATTAACAAGAAAAATATTTTTCCCTAAAAATATTTTGTTAGCAGTTTTTTTCGCAAAAGATAATCAAATTACAATTCTTTTATACCAAGAAAGTTCCTAAAATTTCGGGTGTGCGTAAATCTAGTTAACACAACCTTGTTTGGATAATTTTTAAAAATTGTTAGTCCAAGAATCTTACATTGTTAGAAAGCCCAAGAGTCATAATGATCACTAATTAAGGTTAAAATACCATAGCTAGAATTTTTTAAGTGTATAGCATGTTTTTCTTTCATTAATGTTTGATCAAAATATTCTTTTAAATTTCCAATATATCAGAATTTACACTTACCACAAGAACAACAATGACAGGGCAAATGAATATGTAATCCGTGCTGTCCTTAGTTTGCCAAACACATCTGCAAGTAATTAATCACAACAATTAAGAGAATACGGGAAAAAGTAAATAAATGAAAGTATAAAAAATTGAATTCCAGAATAAGGCATAAATTATGTTCTTCTTACCCATCTGCTAAAGGGTCTTTTGAAAGATGGGCAAAATAAACTTTAACGGAAGCCCAAGAGCCGACAATTATTCCCGGAATTCCTGTAAAAAATTAAAGACCCATTAAAGTTATTGATTTTTCTCTATTATTGCATAGTTTAACTATAAACTATTGCTTATAACAAAAAGAAAATTAAGGTTCCTTTTTTCTTAAAAGTTTTGTTTTTGGATTCACTAATTGCAAATTACTGACTTTGTCAAGTAATTATTAACACCTGAATAAATACTTATTTTCATCTGAAATTGTATTAAAAATAGTTTTTGCTTTTAAAAAGGGAAAAGTTTTACCATGTTTTTATTAAAACTATGTGCTAAAAATATTTTTTTTTCGAAACAATTTTTTTTGAGTTTACTTAAATACTGGAAAATTTACATACTCATAAATAAGAGTGTTTTGCAGTTGTTTATTTCATAAAATATTTTTCTACTCATTTAATGCAAGCGTTGGAAAACAGAATATTTTGGTCATAATAGAATGACGATCTGAATGAAAATCTATATTCCATTTTTAAACTCTTGTAAAAATAATCGAAGTGAACAACTGAGAGCTAGAAGATTTACTCCGAGAAAAATCTAATCAAATTTAAGCCATAAAATCGGTACATTTAATTATAATACACAACAAATTTTCTTCAACATTAATAAAATGTTAAATCAAATTTTAAAATATTTAATTTATACGATAATGTGGTTCAATTTGGTATCACAACTGTAAAAAAATAACGACACAAAATTTAAGAAATTTTCTTCCAAATGAACATTTTATCAAATGGAAGTAATTTATGTTGAGGATACAAATTTAATCAAAGCACTAGGTTTAATGCTACATATCGTTTTTCTCAATGAATTGGAAATATAACTTAAAATAAAAGGAGTATGAGCAATGAGTTAGCCGTCTTTATTAGAATTCAAACCCTGGAAACCTTATGGTCAAGGGCACTATCCCGTCATACAGTGCACATGATTTAAAAACTCGATTAAAAAATGTTGGAGCACTCTCGAATGTACTGAAATGATATATGAGGGAAAAAGCAGTTTAGTCAAATATTTGTGAGTTCACATTTCGAGAAAAATCATGAGACGAAATGAATATGAAAAATAGGCGATTAATTACAAAAGATAGAAAATTGTGATCTCATTATTGCAAACTCGTACTCTTTGGTCAAATGTTACTTGACCAACAGGAGCCTATGCAATTTTAGAGAATGCAGTTCTCAATAATAATTTTTAGATCTGTGGTGGCGAGGGGATGGAGTAGAGCAGTGGTAGGGTCGTGGAGAAAGAGCACTCGCCTCTCAATGAGGTGACCCGGGTTCGAATAACCGCCAAAGCTATTCGATACGAATTCTACACCCAGCTCGCACAGACCAAAGTTTTGGCTTAACATATCCTCCATGGTGGTAGACGAATTATGGGTTAAAGTCATCTTGCCGCCAGGGTAAACTTGGGAGGTTATAGAGGTTTTACTCTCCGTATAACGCAAACGCGGGCTAGTTCTATCAAAAAGTTTTCCACGTAGGCAATTTTCACTCAATACTTGATCCAGGAGTTCCTTTGTCTCCTGGATTGGGTTCAAAATTACAAGGCAACGCAGTTGAAAATTGATAGTCACGAACTCAAAATTGCGTCGGCAGTTCAACGACACTTATAAAGTTATAAATAAAATATAAAATAATTATTTGAAAACATAAAGTTAAAACTTTTTAGACAAATAAGAATGTCGGTGGTGCATACGAATAGCCAATTTATAATAGGGAAGTGCCTCAAGCTGGGTACGATGTCCTTTCTGGCTACTATGCATCTCGCAAACCTTATGATGCTACCTACCTAGCTTTAGTAACCTTTAGTAAACTAAAGGTAAACCTACTTTTTCTCTGAGTTAGTAACCACTGAGCTGAATTGTCCTATTTGTTAAGTCTAATGAATTTCAGGTTAATTTAGAATAGATTTTATTCAGCATTTAAATTTTTTAGATGAAATAAAAAGTAGTAAAAATCAAACTGAATGTTCTCTGAAAATGAAAAGAAAGCTAAAAAGGAATAAGAAGTTACTAATTATAAATTTAATAAAATAAGGTTTCGTTTTAAGCGAAAAATAAGAAAATTGTTTTAGATAATAATGTTTTTTCTAATTGAATTAAGTTCATAAAAAACTGTTTTATTATCAAGGTTTTTATTCTATTTTTGTAAGAAATATAATCTTTTTTTATAAACTTAAAAAAGTTAAAATAATATTGTTAAAACATTTTACGTTAGCGGGGCGAGAATTAATCAAAATAATTTTTATTCTGAGAATGATTTGACTAAGCAAATGAAACCTAATAAAAAATGATTCAGAATGACCGTCTAAATTTTTTAAAATTATTTTTGAAAATTTTTGCCTTTTGAAATTCAACTATTTAGACTTAAATTTTTTTTAAAATAATTTTTTTCTAATGATATAATGCTTTAATTAAATATTAAAGACAAAAATATAGATAAAAAACAAGATAATTAGATTTAAATTAATAACGTTTATAAAAATCTGTCATCATTTAAAAGGATTAAGGGTATTTTTATTGTTTTAAATAAAAGAAAAACATTTTTAAAGTCAAAAGTTTTGATTGAATTAATTTGAAATTTTTTTTATTTACTTATTTATTAATTTTTTACTACTTTAACAATTAAATTTTGTCTAATCTAATAATATTATTTGGTTAACGATCACTCGAAATCACTAGTTTAGTTTAAATAACGTATAACTCTTATTTGAATTTCTAATACAAATTAATTTAAGGAAATAAACATTGGTTCATTTGTAAGTAAGGGTAAAATTTTATGCGAAATAACAAATATGTTTTATGTAAAATGCCTCGAGGGATAAGATTCATTTGTTTAAAATACTAAATAAAAAGGGCTAAATTGTATCATAAACTAGCTTTAGCATTAATTAAAATATGTCTCATTAAAAAAAAGTTGTTGAAAAGGGAAAAAAAAACATATGATTCGTTTAGTGCAATTATTATTTATACAGATTTTAAAAGGCCTTACTGTTTCGTAGCAATAGAAAAATAAACTTTATTACTTTAAGACTCAATAAATGAAAGGATTTGCTGATTTATTTTATATGCTTTTTTTCTTATTCCGATTTCATCTATAAAATATTTTCAGTTCCGAAAAAATAAATTTTTTTTTATGGATTATTAAGAAACCGACTCTAAAACTATTACTGATTACGATACTAGAGCTGATTAAATTATTAATAAATATTTTATATAAAATATTTCATGAATAATCTTAATCAATAAAAATTAAATGAAAATATTTTACTCGTGTTTATTTGTCTCAAAAATATTAATTTGCGTTCCCTAATGCATATTATTGATCTTTTTTAAATTTCCCTTTTGAATGGGAGTCTAGTAAAAGTGGTTATAAGGAAAAACGCAATATATCAAAAGGGGTAAAAAGTGGCATTGTCGATTTAAATTCAGGATTTTTTTCTTCCTTTATACTGAGAAAAGAAAATGTGTTCAAAAGTACCAAAATATGGTAAAATTTACCATGTGTTTGGTTCCATGGGAGCATGAAAAAGATCGGTAATTGTTTTCGAAGCTCCTCGGTTATTAATTTGGTAAAATTAACCATTAAATATGGTTCAATAACATGTGATAAAATTTCCCAAATGTGAAAAAATTTGGTAATTTTATCATGATACCTTTGAGTACGTCTTAAAGAAGGTTAAATTCGGTAAAATTTACTTTACAGCTTTGTATATTTTACAAAAAGTGTGGTAATAAGAACAATAGTTTTGAAAACCAGAATTTCCGTCAAACCGTTACCATATAATCGAAAAAATTACCAAATGAATGATTTAAATACCATATATTTTGGTTTTATCAACGAGTATTATGATTTTTTTTTACAAAAATACCATTATCATTCTGTATGTTTTTTTCCAATGATTACCTGGAGAATGACCTTTCGTCATACAGGCATCTGAAGGGTAGATTTGTTTGCCACTCTTTCAGGGGCACTATATTCGGTGGGTCAACGTTGCTCCAACAGTAAGCTCAGATAGTACACAGAATCAAGGAACATACAGAACCTGTCTGATGCAAGGTCAGTTCCCTGAACCCTACGCAGCATGGTCTGCCCATCCTGTATGGTAATTTTACAAATATTTTTTTCCGTGTAGCACATTGATATTTGCATAATAAAGTGAATGTTTTGCTAAACTTGATTTTAAGCTTATTAATTGAGATAGTGTTTTACTTACACACCGACTTCAGTGCATTAGAGGTGTTGAAAGAAGAAAGTTAGAATTAGAAAAGAACTTTTTGTGCGAAAAAAAAATTACTTTTCATTTACCGTTTTTCGCTGCTTTTTATTTATTATTTCATAAAAAAAGCACTTAAAATTCACAAAATTTTCTTTGTTTTTAACTAGATGTTTTCCTGCAAACATTTCGTCTAATTAGGAAGTTTCCTTCACTAGTTTATGGATACGGTTTCTGTGGAAAACTTTAAATCTAATGCTTGATACATATTTACACAGATGATTCAGAAATACAGCATAAAAAAGAGGGGTATGCGTGAATGAGTACTTACTCGTAACCAACAACACAGAGCAAGAATTCTTGTTAGACAACCAAACACCTCCTAGAAGAGAAACCTTCGCACGTGTTACCACAAACGATAAATCGGATCTTCTAGTAGTCCGAACATAGTGACATTTTCCTTATTTTTAGTTACTGCGCAGTTTATGTTCGGATTACAAAAATGATCCTTGCAAAGGCATTCTCTTTCATAGGAAGTGTAGATTAATCTCTGTATTCTTACTGAGTAAACAAATTCAAAATCAGTTTAAAAAAATGCTGAAGAAATCTCAGATTGCATGGAGATTGCATAAGTGGGGAAGCAATATCGTGAAATATTTCATAATTCATGCTCAGTAAAAAAAATCGCATGATTTTATAATTGTAGAGGAATCATCAAAGAGAGACGATTTCGTAATTGTAGAGGACTCGTCAAAGTGGGGAATCATTGTAGAGGAATCGTCAAAGTGAGACGATTTCGTAATTGTAGACGAATAATCAAAGTGAGACGATTTTGTAATTGTAGAATAATCGTCAAAGTGAGAAGCTTTCGTAATTGTAGAGGAATCATCAAAGTGAGACGATTTCGTAATTGTAGAGGAATCATCAAAGTGGGGAATCATTGTAGAGGAATCGTCAAAGTGAGACGACTTCGTAATTGCAGGCGAATCATCAAAGTGAGACGATTTTGTAATTGTAGAATAATCGTCAAAGAGAGGCGCTTTCATAATTGCAGAGGAATCGTCAAAGGGAGACGATTTTGTGATCATCAAAGTAAGAGCTTTATTTCTGAGAGAACAGGAATCAGGTAAACATAAATCAAAACAATTATGATTAAAATATTAATGTTATTGAAGATTTAGCAAAAAATATACTCTCTTATCTAAATATTATTTAGAATTTTATTTCATTTTCTTTCAAATTCGTTCGGGTTCTATCAATACTGTTTAATATTCAATAGATTAGATTTTAGTATTCAATATTTAATATTCTATAGATTTACACAACGAAAAATTTCATTTTTTTCATGCGATAAATTTTTTCTCTAGATTTCAATCATCAATAGCGCTTTTTAATTCTTGAAAAGTCACAGTTTTTGGCGTGAATTAAGAAACTAAAGGAAGAAACTAATTTTATTAGACGTCACGTATTTTAAATAATAAATATTTTTTCTTTAAAGCATTTTAGATGAATAATCTTAACACTTTTGAAATATCAATTAAAAATATTACAAATAACAAAATAACTCCAATAACAAAAATTAGTTTCAGAATGAAAGAAGCACAAGTAAAATAATACAGTAATGTTTAGTATAATGAACAAATATTTTACTTTTCAATTATTCCTATTACTTGAAGTTTTATTTTTTTGTTGATAATTTTGTAATTCCTCCTTCTTTTTAACATTACAAATCTTCCGATCAGTAGTTTAAAATTCAATAAAATGTACATTTACATTTCATAAAAAAATGTACATTAAATGTACATGCACATTTCATGAAATTTAATATGACTCTGACAAAAAAAAATTTAATTCAGAAAAATTTACAAAATTTTTGGAACAAAAATGTTTACCAAATTTGAAGGAAAATTAGGTTTTTATCCTGGTAAACATACTGTTTATTTAAATAAATTTTTTTTTAAATGTTAAACTGTTTGATGCATAATCTTAACATGCTTAAAATATTAAAAAATTTGATATATATATTTCTAGTAACAAGAATTGTTTAAACATCAAAACAACATTAAAAAAAACTAAAGTTTTTGAAAATGACACGAATCATATATTTTCCATTCTAAATATTCTTATTATTTAAAAGTTTCTCAAGTTCTGTTTCATATGACTATGAAATATGATATTTTTAATTTAGAATTCCATGAAATGCATTCTCTTCTTTTTTTTTTGTACGATTTTGCATTTACTGATCTCCATTTCCAAGAGCATCTCCAGTTTAGAAAAGATTAAAAATTTTTTAGGTTTAAATAAACAAACTCTTATAAATCTGAATTAGCTGATTAATAAGAAATGATAAATGTTTCTTTTTCAAGAACATTTTAATGGATAATATAACCTTTTTTTAAAATACTAAATGAATAAATATTTAGCCAATGTTATTTTTTTTTGAGAAGTATTAGTTAAAATATTAATCAAAAACATTGAAGGAAACTAAACATTTTAAATAAGAAACAAATAAAATATTTTTCATCCCAAATATTCGTATTATTAAGTTTTTTCAAGTTTTTCTGTTCTTATAAGTATGAAACATGAGATTTTTATTTAGAATTCTATAAAATACTGAATCTGCTTTTTATATCATATCCCATTTATAGATCTAAATTCACAAGGGCGTTTTTAATTAAAAAAAAGATTACAAATCTTTTTAATTTTTTAAGTTTAAATAATGAACTTTAATAAACCTAAATACGCGATTAAAAATATTTTTCATAATTTTAACTAGTTTAAAATACAGCATAAATTATATTTAACGAATGTCATTTTTATACGAAGTATTAGTTTAAATATTATTAAAAAAAATAATGCTTTTGGAGAAGAAACACAAAATAAATCTTTCATTCTAAATTTGCTTATTATATGAAGTTTTTTTTCTTCAAGTTTTTCCTGTTTCCCAAGAATAGAAAATTTCAGATTTGTTTGTTAGAATTTAATAAAAATCAGTATTTTCTTTTCGTGTGATATGTCATTTTTCCAGGATTCAGATAATATTTCAATTGACAAGTGCTTTTTCAATTCAGATAGGATAAAGGTTTTTTCGAGCGTGAATAATAGAAAACCAATTTTTATCTACGTGAATATAAAGATTATTCTTCAAATGCAATCACATTCCTTAAAATATCATTATTTATTGATACTAGCTCCTTTTCGGAAAAACTTCTTATTGGATAAATCAGGAATCGTTTGCTAGACTTTTCATTGGTACATCCTATTTTACAAACTCACTAGTTTACTTTATTATCGGAAACGATCCATTATCGGTATTTTTGATGCTTTCTACGTTATAATTTCTAAATTATTGAAATAATTATAACAATATACATAAGCTAGTTTTTACTTAAGTTTTTATTTGTTTTAACTAAATCTAAACTGTATGCTTTTAATAAAAATTGTTTTTTAAGTTTTTTTTAAACTCTACAATGTTAATGTTGGGCTGGGAGTGAAAGAGTTTTGTTGTTATACTCTTGATGTAACAAAAATGAGGGTTAGTTTTACTGAAACGATGAGGTTAGTTTAATCTAATGATTGAGTCAGAGCCTTGGTGGCTCAGGGGATATAGCGTTCGCTTTCCATTGAGGTGAGCTGAGTTCGAATCCCAGTTATGACTGGCCGATACGAATTCCGACACTGACCACAGTACTGACATAAGAATATCCTCAGTGTTAGACGGATTATGGGTTAGAGTCCCCTTGCTTCAAGGCTAACCATGAGAGGTTTTCTTGGTTTTCCTCTCCATGTGTCGCAAATGCTGGTTTAATTCCATCAAAAAGTCCTCCACGAAGGCAAATTTCTCCCAATACTTGATCTAAGAGTTTCTTTGTCTGTTGGATTGGATTCAAAATTACATGGACATGGAGTTGAGCATTGGTAGTTGCACGGAGCCCAGACACGTGCATCCATTTTGTCGGGTCCCAGAGCCCAAATCCCTGTGTGTTGATCTTCTTTGCCCTGTGACATTGCTGTGTTGCCATCTTTTCGTCGCCAAGCCACCTCCCCTTGTTTCAATTACTTTGCTGAGTAAGTACGAGCTCTCATTTCGAGTTATCGGTATGTCCGGTATCGGTATTCGAGTTATCGGTTAAGCTAGTTATTGGTAGTCGTATACTCAAATTAGGGTCGGCTGTTCAACGATGGCTACAAAATAAAATAAAATAATGATGAGTCAAATATGGGTTAGTAGCATCAAAAAGTCTCATTTGACTTAATCATTTAGATTAAATTAGGCTAGTCTGTCCCAATGCACGAGTTCTGTGCTGGGTTCAAAATTACAAGGCATTGATAGTCGTAAACTCAACATTGGGTCAGCTGTTCAAGGTTGGTTATAAAATAAAATAGAATGGAATGCGTGAGTCGAGAGTTTTTTTTCCTCCTAGGTTGAGTTCATTTTCTTTTCATGGAGGTGACCCTGGTTCGAGCCCGGTCGTTAGTTTGTTGATTCCTGTATTACTATAAATTTGCACGAATTAAATTAAAACAGGAATCAACAAACTAACACATTGCTGAAAATATTCTCACTAATAGACAGCATAACGTAACCAATACCGACCGGCCTGTGTAGGGCGCAGGGAACAGTGCTTGCATCAGAAAGGTCCTGGGTTCAAATCCCGGGCAAGGCATGAATGTTTCTTTCTCTCTCTATGTGTTCTATGTCTTTTCTCCTTTGTGTGTGAATGTGACCCGCCCTATAAACGGGTTGTGGTTGTGTGAATGGCGTGGCAGAAGTCGAATTCCTGGCCATAGATGGCGCCACGGAAAAACAGGAACAACCACACCCCGCTGCCTAAACAAGCATACGACCAAAAAAAAAACTGATTTTTTTTTTAAATATTTTTTTTTAAATATTNGATACGTAACATTTATAATAGGCGCCGTTGCTTCATATTTCGCGAACAGAAATTAATGTAAAAGAAAGAATTCTCCATATTAAAAATATAAATAACTTACCCCAACCGATCACACAGTAAACATGAATTCTAACTACTTCAATGGAAAATGTCTTCACAGCTAGTATGTATAGATAAAGTCCTTCCACAAACATCCAAAAGAAATTGGTTACCATTAAGTAAGTCAGACCAATAACCAACAAGCAAGATATCTGTTTTAAAGAAAGACATTGATTACATGTCGATAGAAAAAAAACCAGTTAAAAACACAGTTACACAGTTTAAGCTAATATATTTTATTTTAAAGTATTAAAAAAAGAAAAAATATTTATGGAAATATTTATCACTGTCGTAAAATAATTTAAAGCTTATTAAGGTAAGTTAATGGCTTTTCGAATTTGATGATTTAATCATTGAATCTTACAGTCTCGAAATCTCGTCAAACTTTTGCAGGAATTAAAGGTTTTAACGCGTGTTTAATGGCATTTCTTGCTATTAACTAAAAATTAAATGCGGGAATAAAAAATGCAGTTTCCTAAGCTTCTTCAATAATAGTAAAACTTAATGGACTAGAGAAAATATAGCGCTTTTTTTTAATATCTTGCGGTGATTTTACACGAGAAGCTTAAAAATGTTAGTTGTTAATTTCGTTTATAGGCAGTTTTTTTTTAAATTTTAAAGTCAATGCCCTTTAATGTAGAATTGTGCTTAAACATTGATGTGTTTTACTTTTCCTTTCAAAATTTCTGTTTCGAATTTTTTTTTGAAATAAACCCATTCTTCACAATTTGCTTTTCAATAGGATTTTTTTAACATTTTATCTTAAAAATAAATTTTTTTTGATTGATTGAGTTAGTGAAATAATATGCAACTTGGAATTTTAAATTCAAAGTTAAATCGGTCATAATACACTAGTAAAAACAAGTAAAAGAACTTTTCGCAATAAAAAAAACTAAAAAATCAAATAAAACTAAACCTGACCAAGATATCATCCAATGCTAGACTAATTTACGGGAATACAAAAATGGGCCCAAACTGTACTTAAATAGGGAAACTGGTCACCTGTTTAGTACAGCACCTGATGGACACCCTATCAGTTAGAGATAAACATGACTAATAGGTTGTATGATCATATCTAATAGTTACACAACTCTCGCATCGGTGTTTCATACTGTTTACCAGGATCTTCATCAATGCCTGTGCCTTCCGAACTCACTCTTGCATTAAGGCACCCTTAAGTTGATCGATGGCCGTTGGAGCTGGTCTTTGAGAAATTGAGCAATTGAGCGTCCAAGGACGTGCGATGTCCCCTGACTTTAATCCCATGCGTGTTCGATGGGATTAAGATCAGGTGACATCTCAAACCAGTCTAATCATTGAATGTTCTCCGATTGGAGATATTGGTAAGCCAACTGAGCCCTGTGTGGACAGGCGTTATGGTCCATAAAGATGAAATTTGGTCCCTCGTCCCTCATGAGGGTCAGAAGGACCATCGGGTATGATGTCTGTCCAGGCCATCAGGCTACCTCGACCTTTTTGACAATGATATATAACTGATATCGACTCCTGAGTTTTCTCCAGATGTGAACATTTCTCTGTCCAGAGACTAAATTACGGCTCATTACTGAAAAAAATCAGCCCCCGATCATCCTCTTTCTGAAACAAGTGTTCTTAGCACCTTTCTAGAGCCGTCCTTTTTGTGGTTCACAGTCAAAGGGATGCAGTCTGCAGGGCGTCCCCCATGCAATCCAACTGCATTTAGTCTCCAGAAGACTTTTATCAGTGAAATGGATGTCTCTGCTGAATTATACAGGTTTCGAAACTGTTGCGTCGCTGTCGCAGACCTATTTCTTTTGGCTAGGAATCTCAAATAAAGGTCTTCAGCCGGTGTTGTTTTCATTTTGTGGCTTCAACCAGGTAGGCAGATCACTGTTCCTGTCTCAGTGAACTGAGTTTCTAAAACAGGAACAGTGGTCCGAAACTGAGGAAATGTTTCCACTGAGTGAGCACTCCATTTCTGGAAGGTCTATATAACAAGTAGCCTGTGATCGTCCCACCTCAAGTCTACCAACTGTCCGCCATCTTGCGGCGTCGTCAAGACGATGACGACAGACCATACTAACGATGGTTAAACAGAGAAATTAAAAAAAAAACAATGATTGGACTACACTATGATGTTTCAGTACGTCTTACGCTACAAGCTTTGGCGAGCTAATAAGTATCTCTACACAACCTGACCACAGCGCCACAGCCTTACGACGTTACAGCGACTGCATGGCACAGGTGTCCACAACGAGCTTAGCTATCATATGATACCTTATTTGCTTATAAGAGTTTCTTATTTTGCTCTTTTTTATTAAAAAAACAGTTATTCCATTTTTTTCATCAGTGAACTTCGAGATAGTTCAAATACACAAGGACGCAAATAGCGAATGATTAAATTTAGTTAAAAAGTTCGCATTCATGTTAGACCACATTGTTAATAGTAACAACAACAAAATTTTATTTTACAAAGCTAAAACTATAGTATTAAACAGAGCAGATAAACTTTTTCCACTGATCTTATTGTAACAATTATGTCAAAATACATTGTTCTAAGTATATTTAAAGTTAAAATTTGCTTTATTTTTATTAACGGTTGATTCATATAATTTGTGTAAATACTTCGTTAGCTAACTGAATAATCCAGACAGTTACAAATGTTGCCAACATTTTGTAACGCACTAGGCTAATTAGAAAAGTGTATTTATATTAAAAATATGTATTTTAATATGCCTGATACTTCTTAGGCTTATTACTATTTATAATCTGTCTATATGATAGTAGTTTGATTCGAAAAAGTACAAAGAATTACTCAATAATACTGAATTTGCTGAAGCATTAAATAAATTTATTCACAGTAGTCCTTTCTTACTCTAGGATTATTTCACATTTTTTAATTACAGTTTTTGAAGCCTAAAGATATGTAATTAGGATATACTTCCTAATTGGCCAAAATATGTGTGGTTAAGATGTATATTGTAACTAGCCTAAAAATGTTTAATTAATATATATTATCTAACTAGCCTAAAGATGTATGATTACAATATATTTTTTCATTATCCTAAAGATGAGTGTTTAAGATATAGTTTCTAAATAGTCAAAAGATGCATAAACAGCTGTAGCATAGAAAGGTTTTAGACTCAGTGTTACCCTCCTCCTCAAAAAAATTAAATTAATAAAAACCACATTGAATAATTCGAGCCTGAATTGATTTTTGAAATAAAATGGACTTTAAAGCTGATATTACATTTATAAATTGCCACGATTTTATTATACAGATTTTGAAGTAAACACTCTGGAATTACTGATTGAAAACTTAACCAAAAAACATTATTTCCCTTTATTTTCAACTTTTTACACTATTTACTGGTTAGTTAGGCTGAGTATATTAAAAAAAAAATAGTAAAAAGTGAATTGAATTTAGTTTACACTTTTTTTTGTATTCACAATTTTATAGCGTGTATGAAATTCATGTCTCAATTTTTATCTTTATTGGTGAAAAGAAACGAGGGAATGTCTGGAAATGACTCCATAAAGCTACAAGATAATCTGGAAATAAAATCCAAATGCTAATCTCAAGCAAAATTCGTATTATTAGGTCCTATTCTGTAGTGAGATGCAAATTCTTTTACTCAAGCAACTGTATAGAAATGTTAGACATTTCTTTACAGCATAAAAAAAGAAACGTTATTTCATTTTATTTTCAACTTTTATGCTATTTACATATTACTTAGGTTGAGTTTTCTGGAGAAAAAAAAAACTAAAAATGAATTGAAATCAGTTAAACTTTTTGTTTTGTTTTCACAATTTTACAGAGTGTATGAAATTCATGTTGCAGTTTTTATTTCTACTGGTGACAAGAAATGAAGGAATGTCTGGAAATGACTCCAGAAAATCACAGGATAATCTGGAAATAACATCTAAATGCTCATCCCAAGCAAAGCTTGCATTTTTAGATCTTATTCTACATTAAGATGCAAATTGTTTTACTCAAGCAATTGTTTGGAAGTGTTAAACCTTTCTTCACTGCATAAAAAAAAACTAACAAATTTAACTACTAATTTACAAAGTCGATTAATTCGATACGTTGCGTGAAATACGCATCTAAACCCACATTGGAGAACTCTTGATAGGAAAAATAGAAAAAAATGCTTGTGATTTTCCAAATAACTTGGCTCAGTGCTAAATCCTGCGGCCGCTTGTTATGAACAGCTATATTAAATTAGCCAATGAAATATATATTTCATCAAATTTCTTTTTTAACAATTAACCATTTCCTGAAGTTTTCCGATTTATGTAAAATCTGAAAAGACTTTTTGACATATTTCTTCCGGAGTTTACAAAATTGGTTTAATGTTTCAGTATTAGAAAATGGCAGTAATAAAACCATAGTCAAAGTGAATACTACAATATTTTAATTAACATTTGGCTACCGAATTGAAAAGTATAATACTATGTATTTTATTACATGTCCAGTGAATACGAAACCTCATTTGAACTTTGATGGTGTGCCCTTAAGCTTTCAATTGTAAATAGCTCTGTGTGCATTCCAACTCATTTGAGTTAAAATAATTAGGATGCATGAAAAGGCGTTCTAAAATAATTATCTTAGTTTGATTTATTATCATAATTAGCTAACACTAATTTAGGAACAGGATTTGTCGACCTTTGAAACGTCAGTTTATATGTTATTGAAATTAATGTGAGTAGTTAGTTTGCAAGTTTAATTTAATGTAGTTTTCATTTCAATATCAAAGAGAATGTGATTTGAAAATTTATTAGTTCCTTCCAAACAATAAAAACAAGTTGAAGTTTTAATTTTTATGTGAGATACATTTGGATGAATTTTACTGTGACTGGAATGAATAATAAAAGGAAGTTTAGTTCAGGATCAGCTTTACTGTGATTAGTATGAATAAAATGAAGTTTAGTTTATTGAAGAAAATTAGTATGCAGTAGTAAATTTAATTGCTAGGATTTTTTTTGTTAATTTAAAAGAGGCGATTATCTGCACTCGGACAATGACAAAACTGGAGAAAAATTGTATGGCAATATTTGAGAGAAAGATTTTGTGGAGTATACTTGGTGGTGCAAATGAAAGCAATAACTGGAGAAGGAGATTTAACTTAGAATTGTACAAGATTTAAAAAACAACCTGATGTTATTAAAT